AACTAAAATGAAAGTTAGTAGTACTATAAGATTGTAATTCTCCTGGAGACTACTGTGGAAGTAATAATTAGTAGCAATGCCATGCTGACAAATAAATATCAAAGGAAAGGACAAACTAAAACCATTATAATGTCTAAAGATAGTGAGTGCAAATTGAGGAATACAGTAGTAAACATTTGTGCTTTTATCTATTTAATTTTTTACCTTTTTGATTTTTCAGATTAAAATTGATATTTTTAAGATTAAAAATTAAGAAGAATAATGATGGTTGCGTTAATGAGTAGTGGCGTGAGGGTTGTCATGTCAGCTAAAACAGGCTGAAAAAAAGAATGTGGGAGACAGGCTTTGCCCTTTACACATTTTTTAGCCCTCTTCTTTATTTTATGAGGGAATTAAAACAAACAAAAATAGTACATTTTAATAAAATTGTGGATTCTTTGTTTAATCAGTATAGAATTTAACAGCTTCATAGTCGTTTTCTTCTAATTATAATCAATCAAGAATGTTATGTTATACTAACATTTAATGGACTGATTTTAGCTCAATTTGTCATCAATCTTTAATCAGGAATTCCAATAGGTAACTTGATTTGATGTGTATAACGAAGTTTCTTGCATGTATTAATATTTTATTTAATAGGTGTCAGCAAAAAACTGTTTTGTGTGTGTGTATCATTTTTTTTATTATCCATTAACAGAATAAGTTCGTAAATTTTTGTACTGTTCGTTTTACATAAAAACTGTTAGTGGCATTCAAGTATCCAATAACACCTATTTATTAGAAACTATCACAAAAGTTTTAAAAAGTGTCTAAGACTTTAAAATGTTTGTGATTTTTTTTTTTTTTTGATAATTCCTTAAATGTTTGTGAATTTCCAAATAATTTCAGTACTATAAACTTATTACCGGAAATTTGAATGCCACAACATTTTCCCACTCAAGAAAAAGTGATGAACAATAGAGAACATATAGATATATCAAATGGACTATAAGAAATTTATCGAAACATTAAAGCAGTAAAACTTAGAATCAATTGAGTTATTCAGTCCCATGATAGGTGATTTAGCCATTTAAGTTTACGTTTCTTTTTCGGAGTTAAGTGTTAATAATCTTGAAGCCCTACGAATACCTTATTTTTTAATTATAAAAATTGATGAATTGATTTCATACAATAAGATTCCATTGTCAAAACTCAAAAGTAATTAGTCTATATACACAAATAAAAAAAATTATAATCTAACGTAATAAACAAATAAAAAACACATATAACCGAAATAAACTATTTGATCATACATATATAATCCAACTTCAAACTAAAAGTATACACTCAAATTTAATTTCCCAATTCAGATATCATACTCAAAGAGTAAATGCCTTAAACAATTTCCATTATATACTAAAGTATCAAACTATTCTGTTTCCTCAAATGATCGGAAACAACAAAAAAAACATTACTAGACCTAAATCCATTTTTTCCAATATTTCACATTGTTACGAGTTTATAACATTTAATAGATACCATATTAATACTTGTCAAGTGATGGTGGTTCCCACACAACCAAAGAGTGGAAGGAGATAGCTATCTACCTATATTTATATCTCCACAACTTCACTCCATTTCCTCAATCAATCAACACATACACACATTCCTTTCTCCATTGTCCGATTCTTCAAAGGGTCAAGTTCCAATGGCGGATACCACCGGAAACGATGCCCGGAGAACGTTATGGGGAGTGCCGGAGAAACTTCAGCTTCACATAGCGATGCTTACGTTGCAATTCGGTTATGCCGGATTCCACGTGGTCTCGAGAGCTGCTCTTAACATGGGAATAAGCAAACTTGTCTTCCCTGTTTATCGTAACATCATCGCTTTGCTTCTTCTCCTTCCCTTCGCTTACTTCCTCGAAAAGTAACCTTTTCACTTCTTCTTAACTTAAAACCCTAATTTCTATCTTGTTTTATTTTTTTTTTTTAAATTTTAGAATTTTTATCTTGTTGATGTGATTATCTAATGATTTAACCATACTTTGTGTTATTTAGGAAGGAGAGACCAGCGATTACTCTCAACTTTCTCATCCAATTCTTCTTTTTAGCACTTATCGGG